AGAGAGGTGTGGGTGTGGCTGAGGCTGGAGGGTCCCCGCAAGTGCCCCGGGGACGCGGCGGGGCTGGACGAAACCCAAGCGCCCCAAGTGTTTTATATGCGCACGCACCACACCCATCAGTTAACCCGATTCTCCTGTAGTCTTCCCAGGACCCTAAAACCTGCAGGGCGGACCTGCCAGTCGCTTTAACCCGCTCCCTCCCGTGGAGAGACCAGCCCCCTAGCCCAGGAAACCCTGGTGTCAGCTTGGGTTCCCTTGCAATGGATGCCCTGGGAAACAGGAGCGCGCGACCGGTGGCAGAAGGTGCAAGGCGGCGCAAGGACAGAGGAGGGCGCTGCCGGGCCGGCTGGCAGAGAAGGAGCCGACCTTGGCCTGCTAGTGTCTGCATGGTTCGTGGTGCGTGGTGCAGGCTCCCAAGCGGAAAGATCTCCCCTTAGATCTCAGTTTGCGCTCGCGGGCATCATCTGCTGGCTCGTGTGTTCGCAGAAGCCCCAGCCCGCAGTGAGATGAAGGAAACACGCAGGCACGGGTCCCATTCCACACAGAGCACCTAAGCACCCAGAAAGGCCACGCCACCAGGCAGTGTATTGAGCTGAGAGGTTGCGCTAGGAACCTGGGAGTCTATAGTTACAGGCAACCCGTAGCTCTCACCAGCTGTGGTTTCCAAGCGCATTGTGATGTTTCAGAAAGGAAAAGGTTTGGCCTGGGTGATTACTGCAGACCTTTGAGATCTGAATCCTCCACTGTTCTCCTCCTGTAGGTGGGCACCAGTTACAAACCCGAAGAGCAACGCTGTCAGCAGCCTCCTTCTTGAAGGCAAAGGCCTGCACGAGCATAACACACACACACACACATACATCTGGGCAATCCATGTTCCTGAAAACGGGATTAGAACAATGGTGCTTTATATAGCTAATGCCTTTACTGGTAAGGGAAGCTGGCTATGGAAAGAATCCCATTTTAATCCCTTTGTAAAGAAAAGAACCATATATATATATATATATTTGTATTTGCTGGGAAGGGAAACTTGGTTTATTTTCACAAACATGCACGTTCTGGGTTCTGCTGCTTCTCAGGCGCCAGGTGCAGAGGGGACTGTGCAAACGGTTAGAGGTAAAAGATGGGGACTTGCCTGCGCTGGGATCCGCTCAGTACAATTCCTGCCCTTTGCAGAGTGGTGTACTGGGAGCCCTGTGCTTTAATTTAAAAATTTTTTTTTCAACAAAAGCAATTACAGAAAAGTGCAAATTTAACGTGTGACATTTAACATTTCGCCGTGGCAGGCAGCCTCCGCTTAAATGGGGCCTTTCTATGGAACAACAGGAGCCAAAAGGCCTTGTGTCAGGGAGTAATGTAAGACACAATCTGGGCTGGGAACGCACAATGAATCGGGAAGGATTTATGTAATTAATTGACCAGTCTTAACCTGTTATCGTGATGTAAGGAATTTGGAACTCATTAATTTGGGCTCTGACAGATTTCATATTAGAGCTGGCAAATATGGATTGAGCCTCTTATTCTTGTAGCAGCTGGAATGTCCATGACAGTGAGGGTTAGTGAAGAAGACCTATTGCTGGAGTCCGACCGCCTCTTTGTAATCAGCAGCCCTGCTCTGCATTAAAGGCATAATGAAAAAAGAAGAAGAAGAAGAAGAAGAAAAAAGGAAAAAGCATATTACCTGAAACATTGGAAGGGGCTTGTGCTCACTCTGCTGGTAGGTGTATTGAGCTCAAGCATTTGCAGTTGAATGACAACATTAATTCCAGTCCTAAAGTTAGGTGCTTTCTCCAGTACCCTGAGAGGATGAGAAGGTAAGGGTCTCAGGGTCAGGTTTGGTATTGTTGTCAAAGTTAAAAGGGATGAAGAGACGGAGCCTTTGAATTTCCTCTTTGTGAACACAGAGATTGTATGAAGGAGGAAATAAAAGTCTTATGAGGGACAAATGGCATTTCTTGTAATGTCACAGCCACAAACGAGTGATTCAGAGCCGCGAAGGAGAAACTGGCTTTCTCAGAAACCTACTGTCGGACCTCGAATTCCAGAGCTCCCATAATGAGCATTTCGTCAGTACTCTAATCTGTGTCCTCTTTGCAGTATTTGATGTTCAGTGAATCGCCCAGTGGGAAACGTCTAGTTTCTTCTTTGAGATTTTAAGAAAACCTAGTCAGAATCTAACATGCCCTGCCCCCACTTGGCAATCAGAAAATTGCTAGGTTGAAAAAAAGGTTCCAAGATGAAATGAAATGCTTTTTCTTTTTCTTCCTTTTACAATAGGTCCTCCCTCTTGCTGCGCCATGTGATAAGGTTAATATAACAACTGCCACAGGGATCATTAATACAGGCAGATAAGCAAAGTTGCACGTTTAAAACACTTTCAGGGTATCATTTGCCTCCTCCTGCTGATAAAGAAGCTTTGGTAACAAATGCAGGATACAGGACTGAACATTTAACTCTTTAGACAGAAAGCCCAACTAACCTTTCCTGATACGTTATTACTCGTACGTCCTCTTCAAAGTTGGGGACTGACCGCTCTTGAGGTATGTTTTCCATTTTGTACATTCCCTCGAAACAATTTCTATTCAAGCATAACTTACATTTTAATATAACAAATATTGTTCCAGCACAAATCTTTGCAAAAACAAAAAAGATTTCCAACTTCCTGGGGGAAGGATTGGAAATTTCCATGTCCCCCTTTTTGGTTGACATTTCCATGTGCCCCCCCCTTTTTTTGTTGTGACTCCAATCAAATTCCAAAGTAAAGAATTTTTATTTTACTTTACTTTTTTTTAGTTAGTGACAATGGGATATGATCTAACAATGAAGGACTTGGGATAAAGATTTGTTTTGTGATTATCTTGTGAACAAGTGATTTCTTCAGCTTGGGTTCCATTGGAATGAATGCATGAAGAGAAACACTAGAAATTAATGTTACTCTTTCCATGGAGAGCAAAAAGAGTGCTAGTGGTTGGTATTAGTGTTAGTATTTTAGTGGGAAGGAGGGCTGTGAAGATAAACAGTTGATATCAGCGAGGCTTGGATAAGTAGTGTAAACCATGACAAGGGCGATTAATAGTGTATATAAACACACTTCAAATTTGTATACAGGATCTCAGCTCTCACCTAGGGATTTCTTTGTATTTTTTAAAAGGGTAATTTTTAAGTTGACAATTACAAGGTTATCAACCCACGTGCTGTGTGTACTGTTTATAGATCAGAGTTATGGATGGACATATTGAAGCGTGATTTCCTGGAGAGAGTGTTGACTGGAAGGAAGTCTGGTGCATTGGTTCTGGCTCTGGGCCCAGCACAAGCCCAAAGGCGGGTCCCACCCTCCCTGGACTACAGCTTCCTCATCAGAACAGTAAGAATCTTGAATGCAGAATGTCTTTAAAGGTGTTAATAAATGTCACTAAAAAAAGGGAGGCCACACAGTGGCTTTCACGGTCAATAACATTTCAGATGCATTGGATACAGTGGTTCTCAACCTTCCTAATGCCGCGACCCTTTAATACAGTTCCTCATGTCGTGGTGACCCCCAACCATAAAATTATATTTGTTGCTACTTCATAACTGTAGTTTTGCTACTGTTATGAATCATAATGTAAATATCTGATATGCAGGATGTATTTTCAGGGGTCGCGACCCACAGGTTGAGAACCAAACGAAGTTTAACATGAATTTTCTGCAGGACTTCTCAGCACCTTTCACTTAGACTGAATCCTTAAGTGTGTGTGGGGGGGATACTGTATGCAGTTTTCTTAAACTGACTCGAAGAAAAGAATCTAAAATTCTGTGATCTTTTGAATTTATAAGACTTTGGATTCCTTCCCAGAATGATGAGGGGCCACTCAGGTTTCTTGAGGCCAGGGTTCAAGGAAAGTGTGGACACCACTCAGAGAGAAGGACTCCCCTTCAGAGATGCCCCTGCAGGTTCTGTAAGAGGCAGGGAGGATGTGCTAAGTTTAAACTTGTTTCACTGCTTACAAGATGAGTGGCCTGGCGTGTGCTACTCCACCTGTTGGAGTTTGTTTCTTCACTGACACCCTGAGGGCAGGGGTGAGGTGGGAATGAAATCACAGTGTGTTTCCTTTGCTTTTCCTCCTGCCTTCCAATGCCTTTTTTGTTGTTGTTAATCCTCACCCAATGATATTTTTCCATTGATTTTTAGAGAGAGTGGAAGGGAGGGAGAGAGACAGAGAGAGAACCATCGATGTAAGAGAGAGACATCAATTGGTTGCCTCCCGCATGCGCCTCCAACTGGGCCTGGGATGGAGCCTGCCATCGAGGTTGCCCTTGATCAGAATCGAACCCAGGACCCTTCAGTCTAGGGGCCAATGCTCTATCTACTGAGCCAAACTGGCTAGGATGCAATGCTTTTTAAAATATATATATATTTTCATTGATTTCAGAGAGGAAGGGAGAGGGAGATAGAAACATCAAGGATGCCACTCCAACCACACCCACCACAAGTCAGGTGCCCTTCCCAGTGTTTCTAGAGCAGGATGCACCCATGTGCCCACATGCCTTCTAGTAGCATTCATCCTCCTGTCTGGTTGGTCACCCATCTGTCTGTTCCTCTCTGCAGGCAGTAGCCCCTGGAGGGTCAGGGCTGCATTTCATCTCTGACTCCCCCCACCCAGCTCCATCCCACAGTTTAATACAGAGCACATTCGAGAGTCAATGATGAATTACTGTCATAAGGTAGACAAAAGGCCTGCAGACCCTTCTTAAAGTCCCTTTCCTGTGGCACAACCAGCAAAGTAGCAGAAGAGCTCAGAGCAGCGGTTCTCAACCTGTGGGTCTCGACCCCTTTGGGGGTCGAACGACCCTTTCACAGGGGTCGCCTAAGACCATCCTGCATATCAGATATTTACATTACGATTCATAACAGTAGCAACATTACAGTTATGAAGTAGCAACCAAAATAATTTTATGGTTGGGTCACAACACGAGGAACTGTATTTAAAGGGCCAGAAGGTTGAGAACCACTGGCTTAGAGAATGGTAGTAGGCAATCAGGGATGATTCCTTGAACTTGGGATCTTTGGTTGTCCTGAGGATGAACGGGAGTGTCGTGTCAGTGTCTCATTTCCCGTTTCTCTTGGGCCTTGAAATGGTAAGATAGCTGTTCATTCATGAGGTCTACATGGCAGTCAGAAATCTTTGCTCAAGATTACTCTTCTCATTGATCCAAGAGACCATTCAATGACATATTTTGATGCAATTTCTTTTGGTCAACTTGTTTCTGATAAGACCCTGTGCCCAGCGCAGTGTGTATATAGTAGAGTGACATTCAATAAAGGGTGAGTGATTAAGTTGAAATAATTGACTATGTAAACAGGTTAACATTTTCTCCAAATGAATGCTGCTATGTCATAGAACCCATACAAAACCGAAGCCCAGTCTGACTTTAAAAAGTAATTAAAGAGTAATTTAAAGCTTTACTAAAGTCTCCTAAAAACCAAAACAGCCTAATTTTAACCCTCCAAACTTTCTTAGGATTCTTTTCTGAATCAAGTTTGCCCATCACTATATTAAACAAACTCAAAAGGGACCGTTTTGTGAGGCTTTTGACTGTGAGCACTTTCATTTAAAGTTGTCTTAGTGCAGTCTAGTTATTTGCGTAGCCTTGGTTCAACACCAGCACCGAGAAAAAGAAAGGAGTGGTGTCAGTAGGCGAGATAATACTGTCTGTTAGCATAAAGGAGACAGTTTATGACAGACTATAAGTAAATAAGGAGCCAGAATTATCTGGAGAACACTAACTGTAACAAAGAGACCCCAAAATGCAATGGCAGCTTCAAATGAGTGAGAAATCAACTTCTCTTTCAGGAACTCTCAAAGGCAGGTGGACCAGCCCTGCTCCAGGAAGTCACTCAGGGACCCAGGCTGGTGGAGTGGCTCTGCCATCCTTGAAAGGTACTTTCCAGACGGCTCCAGTCATTCCTGTTTCCAGCCAGTAAGAAGAAAGGAGGGAACACAACTGGGGTGAGCACCATTTAATTTGTTTTTCAATAGAAAATGTCAAACATATACAAATGTAGGGATAGTGTAATATAATACATCCCTATGTGCCCATCACTCAGCTTAACGTTACCTTCATCAGGTCAAACATGTATCATTTCTATCCCCCATTAAGGCCCTCATTTTAAGTCAAATTTCAGACCTCTTTAAGAAGATGATCTGGAAGTTGCACACATCGCTACATCACTTGGTAGGTACTTAGTCACATGGCCACAAGTAGTTGCAAGCAAGGCTGGGCAAAGTCTCTGGCTGGATCGCTGTGTGTTTAGGAGGGAGGAGAGAATTTGAGATGATAGGATTTGAAGTGGGTGGGGGGGGGGTGTCCTTGAGAAAAGCCATAGAAATGGAAGTTGAATCATTCAGGGAAAGATTAAAGACATTTCTACACTGTGGTGAAATCCAGTGGTGACAACTGCATAATGATACCTGTGAAAGGCTACAGCGAGTCTTATGCACTTGAATTTTCAGCAAATGCAACATCTGGTGAACAAAACAGAACAGCAAAATGAAGTGCTTAGAAGGACAACATAGGATTGTGCTCTTTTCCTCACCTGTGTAAAATTAGCTGAGAGAATGGTTTTAGAGGAGAGTCAATATATGCAAATATCATGGAGATAGTTTATTGCTTCTGCTGTTCGATTCTGTCTTCTAAAGCGTGAAAAGGTGTGTGTTCGAGACTTTGTGTATTTTCATGTAACAAAAAGAGAACAAAATACCACAGAACTTAAAATGAGCAAAAGAAGAACTCATTTAAACTAGTCTATTAAATGAATTTATGTGAAGAAACATTTACTGAGCATGTGCTGAATTCAGAGGGTTGTCCTGGGTTCTCCAGGGGGTACAGTGATAACAAACATAGAGTCCTTTATCTCAGGGGTTCTCAAGCCGAGGGCAGGTACACGTGAAAACAGCTAACCGTGACACAAGACAATGAATTAGGTGCCGTGGTTGAGGGTGGTGGACATCCATTGCTTTATCTGCCTGTGATCCATTCTCTTCCTACAAATCACTTGATTTTCCTCAGGGGCCAGCCCTCTTCCTTCTCTGTAGAGCTGATTCAATCTATGAGCCCAGATGGGGCTATAACCCAAACCTAGCCAATCAGAGCAATGGTATTTTCCTGGCCCAGGTGATTGGTTTGGAGTGGGCACATGATTTTATTAAAACCAATGACTTTTGTGCAGCTGTTGAGAAAGGAAACATTATCTCTAGGGTGGCTGGGATAGGGAGCAAGGCAGAGCCTGAGAATGAGAGAGAAGAGAATGGGCCTTGGTGACATCCTTTAAGTCTGTTAGAACCTTCCATGTCAAGCATTGCAGTAAACACACCATTTATTTATTCATTTATTCACTCACTGGCTCACTTTACTGGTGTTGTGCCTTTAACCCCTATAACGTTAATAGGAGGTGGGTGACAGTATCCCCCATTGTATAGATGAGCCTACTGTTAATTAATGGAAGAGCTGGAATTGAACACAGGCCTGTTTCTAAATCCTTAATAATCCTCCTAGACACAGCTTTTAAGGAGAAAATGTCTCTTAGCTCACTGTATTCTCTTAAGCTCCCAGAACAGTGCTTTTGGTTAGAAGATGCTCCTTATGTGTTCATTGACTGAATGCACATTTGTGATGTAAGGGGTGGCAGTGCTGGTCCCCCCAGGCACAGGAAGAGGAGCAGGAGGAAGGGGAGGAGAGGATGAGCTCAGTGTGGCAGTGATGACTTTGGGGTGTAGATACAGGAAGAGATGATATGCTTAGAGGTGCCAATGTGGGGTTGGAATTAAGAGAGCAGTCAAAGATACAAATTTGGAAATCCTCTGAGAGGAAAATTGACAATGGTCATTTTTGCACAAATGTCATGTCAGTGAGGCCTTGCTTGACTCAAAATTGCAATCTCCGCTCAACTCCCTTACCCTCTCCCTCCCTATCCCTCTTTTATATTCTCCATAGCACTTACCGCATATATTTATTTTACTTATCTGTTTGTTCTCATCTGTCTCTTCTGCACCATATAAGCTCCACTTGTGCAGGGAGAGCATTGTTTTTCACGTGGAATACAATGGGCCTGGGCTACTGGCTGTACATGGAAGGTGCTCAGAAGATATTCGTTGAGTGGGTAAATGAAGGACTAGAAGTGGACGAGATTGCTCAGTGATGGCCTTGATGAGTGATAGAGTAGGGTAGACAGAAGGCCAGAGAAGAGGAGACCCTGGAGGAAACCGAGAATGTCTAAGAAGCAGAAGGCAAATCAATCAAGAGCAATCCCCAAGAATAAAGACAAAGACAGCAGAGGGATTCAGAAGGCAGCGGTGGGCAGCAGGGTCACATGTTGCTGAGAGGTCAAAAATGGTCAAGAACATTGCATGTGGAGTGAGTTCTCTTTGGTGATGTTGTTCAGCAGAATGATGTCGTCGCGCCTGGAACTCAGTCAGTTATGCGAGTTTGAGTTTCAGTCCTGCCATTTATTAGTGATGTAAATTTGGGCAACTCTTTGAACATCTGAGCCTCGGTTTCTTTACCTGTAAAATGGGTGTAATACTGACTCTACCTCAAAGCCTATTTTTGAGGATAAACTGAATTACTGTATGAGAAAGGCATAGACATTGGTGAATTATTGCCATTCTTACTGATTTGCAGGGAGTAGAATAAATTTAGAGAGTAAATATATAAGAATAAAGAAAGTCAAGAACATTTCCATAAGCATTATGATTTGGGAAAAATTGATTTCAAGACAAAACAAAATGCATGATGATTCTTGCTGCTCTTTTCAAACTCTGTGCATATGCACTTGGAAGTGAGCACTCTGTGTTTATGAGTTTGAATTTGGGGCATTTTCTTCATCATGCCTGTTTCCGGCTTTCCATGCCCCTTCCTGCCCAGGCTATCTATGTGAATGCACAACCCTGAAACCAGGCCGCTGACAATTGGGCTCCAGAGCTGCTTGTAACCATTCCCTTCCCCCACCTCCCCTTCTC